GGAGGATCGCCTGAGTCCAGAAGGTCAAGACTGCGATGAGACCTGACTAGTCCTCTGCACTCTAGCCTGGGCAATAGAGTGAGATTCCTAACTCCAAAAAAAAAAAAGGTTAAAATTACAGTTAATATATGTAACTAAAACTATTAAAAATAAGGGAAACAATTCTGTTTGCAAAATGTACAAAAAAAAAAGCAAGATATTTTTTGATGAGAAAGGTTTTATTTTATTTATTATTATTATTTTTTTTTGAGCTGGAGTCTCACTCTGTCACCCAGACTGGAGTGCAGTGGCCGCTTCCAGCCTCCGCAGCCTCGACTCGCTGGGTTCCGGCGATCCTTCCGCCTCAGCCTTCCAAGTAGCTGGAACTACAGGCACACGCTACCACGCCCAGTTCATTTTGATTTATTGTTGAGATGAGGTCTCGCCAAGTTGCCCAGTTGGGTCTTGAACCCGTGGGCTCAGGCAATCCACTCACCTCAGCATCCCAAAGGGGCAGGATTACAGGCTGAGCCCAGCTGGTAAGAAAGGTTTTGTAAGAAAAATGAGGATATGGGTTTTGTTAAAGGAAAAGTAACTCTGTCTAGTTTAGAGGTAGTTTAAAGGTTGTTTCAGGCCAGATGTGCTGGTTCATGCCTGTAACCCCAACACTTTGGGAAGCCAAGGTGGGAGGATTGCTTGAGCCCAGAAGTTCAAGACCAGCCTAAGCAACAAAGTAAGAAACCATCTCTATAAAAAGTTTTAAAAATTAGCTGGGCATGGTAGCACCTGCCTTTAGTTCGAGCTACTCCAGAAGCTGATGTGGGAGAATCATTTGAGCCTGGGACTTCAGGGCTGCAGTGAGCTATGATTACACCACTGCAACACAGCCTGGGCAACAGAACAGAGCGAGACTCTGAGGATAAAAAAAGTTGTCTTAGAATAAAATGGAGGAATAAAATGATATAGATGAAACTAAATGGATATAAAAAGGAAAATAAAGAGAATGAAAAAATTCTAAAAGATTATTTAAAAGTTTATGGAAATTTTACCTTGTGTGGCTAAAGCTGCCTGAAATTTGATAATCTGTTTATAAGGTTTTATTAAAATTAGCTTTCGTATTAAAAGGACAGTAATACAAAACTACAATTTGGTATTTTCTCTGTTTTTTTTTTTTTTTTTGAGTTGGAGTCTCACTCTGTTGCCCAGGTTGGAGTGCAGTGGCACACTCATGGCCATCCCAGCGTCGACCTGCTGGGCTTTGGCGATCCTTCTGCCTCATCCTTCCAAGTAGCTGGAACTACAGGTGTGCACTACCACACCCGGCTAATTTTTGATTTATTGTAGAGATGAGGGCTCGCCGAGTTGCCCGGGCTGGTCTTGAACCCGTGGGCTCAGGCAATCCACTCACCTTGGCCTTCCAAAGTGCTGGGATTACAGGCTGAGTCACCAAGCCCGGCCTGGTGTTCTCTTAAACAAGATTTTTGTGAAGTACTGATAAATAACAAAAGATTTTTGTTCATCTTTGAGTAAACTGGAAAAAAGAGGGAGGCCAAAGAAACAGATTCTGTATGCCTCATGCTGTCATTATTAGGTCTTTTGATTATTGGGAAAACTCTATCAAAGGGTAAAGATTTTTTCTTTTTGAAATCTTTTCATTATGACTTTGGCTAAGTTAATGACTGTTTCAATCAAAATCAAAATGCTAATTTTGTCCTTTTGACGTCAAATTAACCTGTGGACATCACAAAATGCCCCTGGAAATCCGAGAGACATATTAGGCTTATTTTGTTGTTAAATGATATGGAAAGCATTGTCAAGTAAGAAATGCTGTTTATCCTTTTGCTGAGTTGTTTTTGTATGGATGTGTTATCATCTGTGTTCCAAAACTGTATTAGATTCCCAAGAATCTAATATGTATTGGTATATGTTCTTGGTCATAATTAATATAATAAGATTAAGATGTTGTAGGTCACAAAGAATAATCAGGCCGGGCTTGGTGGCTCAGCCTGTAATCCACGCCTTTGGAAGGCTGAGGTGAGTGGATTGCCTGAGCCCACGGGTTCGAGACCCACCTGGGCAGGCGAGACCTCATCTCTACAAAAAATCAAAAAAAATTAGCCGGGCATGGTAGCGCGCGCCTGTAGTTCCAGCTACTTGGAAGGCTGAGGTGGAAGGATCGCCGGAGCCCAGCAGGTCGAGGCTGC